TGACAAACATCCAATAGGAGCCCAATTGCATTGACATGAAAAGCAGATAGACAAAATGTAGGTACTTTGAAAATTTGACACAGAAAAAAAGTACATACTCAATATCCGGTTGTAGAGTGGGTTACAACATTTCAGGGCATAAGAGACGAACGCCCATCAGCGTGATGAATTTGGGTTCACAGGTACTCTCGAAGGTAAAGGTGTGTTCGCGCTGATTTGTGGCTGCCTCGTTTGAGTGAGCATTAGCAAAGTGTATGTATGTATGTATGTAGATATGTAAGCTGGCATTTGGGAATGCTATGTTGCTGAAGAGCACAGATACAACTTTTATTTTGGACTAGAAAAAATTGTGTACAAATTCCTTTTTCCTTGGAAATATTTTTGTGGCAAAAGAGTAAGCAATCTCTATATGCGTAAAAGCAGAGGAGCGGGTGCGTAAGAATTGTGTAATTTTGTAGTTTTGAAGTATATTTATGGGCGCATAACATCATCTGACTGCATATGAAGTTGATGTATGCAAATTGTGCGCACACCCACACGCACGCACACTCGTAGCGTTGTATACAACGCTCATCATAAGCTCTTGGGTACACATGTGAAGATTATGGCCGCAATTTGTTTGCATTTCTATTCTTTACTGTTAAAGGTGCTTTCAGTTTTTGTTTTTCACTTTTACTGAGTTCTTTTAATTTTTTTTATTTTACTTTACTTTATTGTTTGGTTTAGTTTTGATTTGTTGTACACAGTATATATATGGCTCAGCTCTTGTGTGTCTGTGGCTTCGCCGCTTCGAAGTTGACAATGACAAATCGAAATGGATAAATCGTAGAGATTCTATATAAGTTGCCGCAACTGGTTTACTTTTAGTTTTTATTTTCGATTTTTTTCTCCTTGTAGGTTTACCAAAGAAATTTATGTGCTTCTGTCGGAACTATCATATCGTTTGGAGGATTGCATTGGCAAAATATTTATGAGTATACTTTGTGGAATGTTTGCTTTTCTGCAGGTAAGCTACGGCATTTTATTTTGCAAGTAGAAGAAATTGCTGGCATTTCTTTACTTTGGAATTTCATGCAATATTATTTATTGTGAAATATTTCTGCATTACCGAGTGTGCGTGATAAAATTTCCAGAAAAAATCATTTTTTTTTATGAAATATGTACATTCCTGCATTGCTTTCGAGGGGATTAATGTAAATTAAGGATTGATAAAATATGTATAACCAAATTCAATGAAAAAACTATTTGGTAAAATTTTTATTGTTTCTTTCGAAAAAACCTTCTTCTTTAGGTGTTTGATTACGGAAAAAATGGCAGTATGTACATATTTTTATGTATCGAAGAAGTAAACAACGATCTTTCTTTTGGCAAAAAAAAAAAACTCTTGAATGTTGTACTTCAAAACAAATCACAAATATACTGGTCTGAACGGCAGGAAATTATCTCAAAAGAAATGTTTTTCGTGAGACATTTGGCAATTCTAGCAACTATCTTGAAAGCTATTTTCTGTCCTTCGAAGGACTAATGGAAAGATCGTGGAGGTCTTAGCGTTAAGGTATCCACACACCTATGCGATTCTGTAGCAACGAATCCGCACCGGTTTTGATGCTACAGACGTTACTGCTTCGAAAACGCGAGTACGCACACATCTGTGCGATTTTATCGCAGTAAAAACTGTCAATTTATAGAGAAACAAAAAATATTTTTCAAAAAATATAAAATCAAATTTTTCACTTTTCTACATCAAATATGTTTTGTTTTCTTACGTTCAATTTTGTTTTAATATTGTAAAATCCTTCTATTGACCTTTTTCGTTCACAAAACGCGGAGTCTGCGATTTCGGCACGACCAAAAGAAAAACTCAGAATGTTCGAATAAATCGCTGCAGCAAAATCGCATAAGTGTGTGGTTCCTCATTTAAAACTATGGTCGGCATTGTTGTAAATTTTGTCGGAACAGATTCGCACCGACAGAATCGCATAGGTGTGTGGATACCTTTACACTGTTTGTCTTTTAACAATCATTTTTCTAAAAAGTAAATTAAGTTAATATATACATATATTTTTTTCTTTTTAAAGCAATAGAAACTAAATGACAATTAAATTAAAAAATAAAACAAAATTATTAACAAAAAATAAAAAAAGTTCCTAACAATAAAATAAAATTTAAAAAGAAAATTATTCTCATTTTAAACACCAAAATCTAAATATTAAAAGAGAATTTAATTGAAAATGGAAAAAGAAAAAAATAGATGAAATAGGTTCCTTAAAATTAATCGAAATTAAAAATTATATATATATTTTCTATTTTAAATAAAATCCAAACATTAGAAGAAAAAAATATTAAAATAATAAAAATTAAAAATTTTCGAAGAATTTAATTGAATTAAAACAAATATTATCCTTTTTAAACAATATAACTTACCAATTAAAAGAAAATTAATTCAAATAAAAACATTTAACTAAAAAATTAAACTAAAAAACTTTTTTTTAAACAAAATCGAACCTTTAAAAGAAATAAAAATAAAAAAATTTAAATTACACCAAATTAAATTTTTTTTCTTAAATTAAAAAAAAATCTTTTTAGAACAATAAAAAGTAATTATTAAAAGAAATTTAAATTAAAAAAAAAATACAAAGAAGAAAAATAAACTCAAAAAGAGGAAAACATAAAATAAATTTCTTAAAATGAAATGCAATTTAAAACAGATTTTTCTTTTAAAGCAGTAAAACTAAAAGTTAAAAGAAAATGAAATAAAAAAATTAAAAAATATTGCATTAAAAAAAATAAAAATATTAGATAAGATACTAAAAATTTATTTAAAAAAATATCTTTATCTATTAAAAATAATCTAAAGCTAAACATTTAATGAAAACATTTAAAGAAAAAATACACAAATAAAGTAAGTTCTTAAAAATTTAAGAAAGATATTTTTCTTAAAAAAATAAGTAAAAAATAAAGTTTAAAGCGGTAATAAAAATAAAATAAAAAAGTTTCTAAAAACTAAATTTAAAACAATATTTTTGTTATTAAAACAATAAAATCTAAATGTAAAAGAAAATTACATTTAAAAAAGATTAATAAAAAAAATTAAAATAATTTCCTAAAAAGTTTATGAAATGAAAAAAAAATTGTCTATTTTAAGCAATACAATTTAAAAGAAAACTGATTAAAAAATTAGAAAAAAATAAAATGAAATCAAAAAAGTATTTATCTTTTTAAACAACAAAACCTAAAAATTAAATTCTGTTTAAAACAACAAATCCTAAAAATTAGAAGAAAATTAAATTAAAAAATAAGAAGCAAACTATAAAAGAAAAAAAACAAAAGCAAAATAAGTTTCTAAAAATTAAATAAACTTAAAAAATAACGATTTTCCGTTATCCCTTTGTCAAATTTGATTGCAAAACCATTTCGCAATGCATCATACTCCTACCCTGTCGAAAACACCAACAACTAAAATGAGATTAAATACGTAGTCATTTCTTGTAACAAGCGATTATAAGGTCAGCATTAACATCAGTGATGACAGTTAAGTCTAAAACAAATTCTAACATCAGAAAGTACTCTTTGTGAAAATGAATATAAGACCTCGGTGTACATATTTTGTGTAAACTTTAGGAAACCTATTAAAATTTATGGTCCTTAAAAAAATACTGACCACCTCGAAAAAAACCCAAAAAAAACGCAGATTTACTAAATAACTCTAAGCCCTAATACAGTGGTGAGCATATACATATGGTAAGATGGTCTTATACAGAAGTAAAATGAGCAAATTAACAAAATGAGGGACCTGCACAACAAACCTTATACTGATAACATTCTGCAAATCGGCACAGGTTGCAGGGTAGGAATTGCATACAATTTTATTCGGATAATTTTTAATACACAACGAATCAAATGAGGGGGGATGGGTTAAAAAAATCTTTGGTTATTTTGCGAAAGTCTAATATACATACGTACGTTCATTAGGGTGCATCACTCTCCATAAAAAAATGTATTATATCTTAAGACCTACGCCAAAATATTTCCGAAAAGAATATGCCTTTTTTAGTAGGACCTATTTGAAGATATTTCCATAAATCGAATTTTTGTAAATATAGTCAGTTTTTGAAAACATGTTTTCTAAAAAATCACACGGGATGATAGAAAAGTTGTTAAGCTTAAAAGATCTGCATAAAAAGGTGTAAACATTTTTTCTACGGAATCGAAATAATAAGATTTTTAGAGGTATTATCAATCCGTATAGCTTACGTAAATCTTAATATTTTTCCGAAACTCTTATAATATACAGGCCTTTCGGCAAATCGTACGATTTCAAATCGGTGCGATTTGCTAACTATTTTTCAATATTTGTAATGAAAGTTATTAGTTACGTTTCAGCCAACGATTTAGTGCCAAATTTGAGAATTTTTTGTGTAGAAATCTCTAAAAAAGGTTTTTCTTTGCAAATTATTGTGATGCACCCTAATATAGGTAGGTAGGTGTATGTATGCACATATGTATGAATAATAACGACAGCTAACACGATTTTTGGGTCTGACTTCTACATGTCAAATTATAGTTTCTCCTACGCTAAAAACAAGGGAAAAAATAATTTTTTTGATCAAAGTTTGCTTTTGTAAAAACTACAGCAATTTTTCAGATTTTCTGAAAAAATCACTAATATTTATATTTTTTTTATTTTTTTTTGTTGACCGGTGTAATCGATACCAAAAGAGTTTCACATAAATATAGTTATTTTCACTTAGAAATCCTGGTGAAATCTTATTTTATTTTTGGTTATTTTTCTTTAATAAAACTATGTAGATTTTGTGCGAAAGTCTTAAAAAAATATTGCTATTGTATGTTAACATTTAAAATATCAATGGCGAGGTCTGGTTAACTTGAAAATGATTGTAAAAATATTTTCGGCCTTCAAGTTCTTCAGTTTTTTTTTTCAAGTTAAAGTCAACGACCAAAGTACGTATTATTAAATTTTAAATATTTTTTGTACTCACCTAAATTAACATATATAATATCCTCTGGTGTAACACTAAAACGTGGCGGTGCATGTACGTCTAAATGGAACCATGTACCGTTCTTATGCTGCTTGGGATCACGATTTAAAAATACCACTTTACACTCATACCAGCCTTGATCCGACTCCTTGATGTTGGTCAAATTGAGTGAAGCCGAACCGAACGGTGAGTCCTGTGAGACGCGTGACACACGGCCCTTGTAGCCCTCTTCGATGTGTTCCGGATAGCTTTCGTACCATATGTAGATGGGCAAATCGGAACCCTGTTTGCAGTGAAGCGTTGTTCAAGATGTCGCAAAAACATATGCAAGTTGGTTGGTTGTTTTTTTTTTTGGTTTGTAGCATTAACAATAAAGTAAATATTTTCAAGAGAAAATTCCATTGAAGAAGAAAGAAATGTGAAATAGATTTTATGAAATTAGTACGACTTGTAGTGTTTTGTGAGTGCATAGACAAGTAAACAAACAAAACATTATAATAATAATAATATGTTTATATGTAAATGTAAGATAATTACGAAACTAAAGATTTTATTACAAAAAAAAAAATAGATAAAAAATTTACAAATTAAAATGAAGTTAGCTTACGAGTATGTACATATGTATGTTTGTGAGCTACATTAATAGAGTTTTACAAGCGAATTTGTTGCATGATTCTTGCGCAAAGAGTTATGGAGATGTGCAGTAGTATACTTAAATGCTAGCACAAATATTTGTAGTTACGTATTTTGTTAGAGCTTGTGAATATGCAATTTTGTTTTGAATGCAGGTTGCAAAATGGTGACTAACAAAATATGTATTACATTTCGTGAAACCAACACAAAAAGTAAAATAATACAACTGGAAAAGAAATAAGTATTTTCTCAGTATTTTTCTAAATTTATGAACTACATTTTTTTTTTTTGTATCTTTTACTTGCTTAACCAACGCACGAATAGCTACAAATATTTCTGTGTGCATATGTCTATGCATGCAGTTGAAATAAAACACACACACATCTACATACAGTAAATATGCTGTAAAAATTTTGCATTCAAATTTACAAATTAATAACTTTTGTGAATAATATTTTGCTATTAGTGCATAGTTTTTAGGGGAACATGAAGCCACATGAATTGAATACTTTCTAAAGCATTCAACTAATAACAAAATACCCATGTAAATATTTTTTTGATTAAAAATTCCTCATTTTACATACATACATACATAGGTGCAAATTGCTTAAAAAAATTCATTAAACCAAAAGTGCACTCAACTTTTTTGCATGCACATATGTATGTCCTATGTATAAAAAAGCGATTATTTTGTATGCAAATTTATATGAACAAATTCATTGCTTACCAATAGGCGCTAAAGCATGAAAATTTATGAGTAATCAATTCGATAGTGTTTAATTTACAATGCAGCGGCAATTGAGAGATATCTAAAGAAATGTACGTCGCTATGCGTATACATTAGGGTGGTGCAAAAATGAATGCGAAAAAGTAAAGTCGGAATTTTTATGCTCTGATTCCCTGGGATCGTTCTATACCGAAAAAAATATACCACTATTTTTTTTTAAATTTGAAAATAAAAAAAATACTTAGAGGCCGCCCAAAGCGCTCAAAGTTTTCCATGTATTTTATATGTATTTCGATCGCGAAACTCTGTTTCTCTTCAGCAGATTTCCAATAATCATACCCCAATTATTTATTTGACCATTTTTTCATAGTAACCTTATTTTATAGGTCCACCAAACCACCAAAAAATTCCGGAAATGGAATGGGGGGATAAATAAATAATCTTTAGTATTAAAAACTGGTTAAATAAACTATTGGGTATTGTTACTGGGAAAATATTTATTTTCTAGAATTCCATACCATTTCTACGAAAAGTTCTTCTTTCCCCATATAAAATACATGGAGCACTTCAAGCGCTTTGAGCGACCTCTAAATGTTTTTTGATTACAACATAAAAAATAGGGGTTTATTTTTTCGATATAGAACAATCCGGGGGTAAGAGCATTTCGACTTTAATTATTTTGGACCACCCTAGTATGCATATATGGGACGTTTCACGCCAACCGGATCATCAGTGCAACCAAAATTTAAGTTAACCTATCAAGACGTTCGAGGTCTCAAAATATTCGCCTGGTCAAGAGCTTTTAAAAAAGTTCTGGCCTTTTCAAAATTCCAAAATGGCGCAGAAATTTTTGTAGATAATCAAAATACAGAAACAATTAATGGCTATATTAAAATTATTAAAAGGTCATATGAGAACTGTGAAAAAAAAAGATTCGAGGACTTCAATACAATAAAAAAAATTATATTTTCATGATTATCCGCTTATATTAAATATAAGTGAACAAAACATTGAGTTAGAATAAGAATTAAAAATGACGAGGGAAGATTTTACAATTCCACTAACGGCTGGAGCGATATTTCGGAAACAAATTAGTAAAGTAAAATATCCTAAAAAAATTAAATATACAAATTGTACTAAATTTTTAGTTCCACATATACTTAATTGCGAATTTCGTTTTCTTTTTAAAAAATAAATCAATTAAATACCTGCATAATCTATTTGATGATATCCTTCGAATAAAATTTTATTTCGAAATTAACAAAAAAGTACCTAAATAACAAATAGAAAAATTATGCTCAGTGTACTTTGAAATGAAAAAAAAGGCAAAAATGTGTGCATGGACGTAGCTGGACTAAACAAAATTCAACCCCTGCACTCATACATCATGCAACGGTTCAGCGACTGCTCCAGGCGCGCACAATCTACTGGCTCACCAGCTAAACGTTGACTGGCAAGCAAAGCAAATAAATATTTTTTCTCACTGTACAAAGAAAGCTTTTGTACTTTCGGTGAGAAAGCTCAAAGCTCTTTTGCAAAAGCTCGCACAATATGCATATGAGTTGGATGTAACTGGTTTAATCGATATGGTGGTTTTCGGGAAAACTTAACCTTATTTTAACCTCGAAATTTCAAATTTCAAAATGGCTATTGCAGTTGAGCAATGAGCCGCCGATAAAGTTAAACTTAGGCAGTATGCAGTCTGATCCGGTTGACGTGAAAAGTCCCATATGCACTCTAGGGTAGTTAAAAATTACATAAGAAAATTAACTTTTTGGATTTTTTCTCATGCCACCCCCATAATTGTAGAAATTGTAAAAAGGAACCCATATTTTTAAACAAATTTAAAAAAGGAGAAAGTTATCATTCCGCCGGAATATTTTTTGTGCATGTTACCGGATAATTTTGTTAATCGTTTTCGACAATTCTTCTTTATCGCAAATGTATTAACTAGACTGCGGAAATTTATGCAAAAAATTAAGCCCGTAAATATGTTTACTAACTATGATATATAGGGTACATATGTTTAGGCTTCGTTTCATACTCATTTGATTTAGATACCCCTAAATTTTTATGAGGATTGAAGTGGGGTGTTTCTGCTTTAAAAATTACTTGTCTTATTTAGCAATCGGGTAATATTTAAGGGTGTCCATAGAGTTTTAAACTCCACTCCACTTTTTCGTAGAATTGCTGTAAAGTCGTTAAAGACGAATATATTTTTTGATCGAATAAGGATATTGCTCTCTAGAAATCTTCAAAAAACTTTAATAACGATGCGTAGTTAAATTTAAAATTTTAATGAGCATTTATTTATAACCGATCGTTTTATCTCTCATAAATAAAAAAATTAAATAAAAAACTTTTTTAATAAAGTAAGTTTTTATAAAAGAAAAAAAAGTAGAAAACAAGTTTTTATAAGTTTTGATTTTAAAAACTGTTATTTGATTTTGTACATTTTAAAACAATTAAACGATATTCTGATATTATATTTTATTAAACTGAGTTTTAATTTATTATCTCTTTAAACTTGCACAAATATTTATATATAGATATGAATTTCCGAATATGTAGTTGGTAACCCTAATAAAAAATATTTTCTAACTAAAGATATTTTAAAACTCTTTCATCTGGCACTCATATTTACTTTGATATTTCATATAACTTTTGTACATACAATTTAACTAAGTTCGATAAAAACAGGCGGCAACTCCCTTTTAGACTGAAACCTTCTTAAATCTCTTTTTCTAACACCAATGCTGTCCCACATATTTCAGGTATTAACTGCCTTAATTTAAGTTAAATTTGACCTTTTTAAACAACCCTTGGTAACCCTTTTACATGTACTTTTGAAATTAAGCCTTTTCAAAGCCATTACATTCAGCTAGCTTATTAATAATTAATAATTTTGTAATAGGTGGCAACCTTTTTCAAAACATTAAAAACTTTTTCCACATCTACAGGCCAAGGCCCTTTAACTTTTCACCCTATTTTCGAAAATCGTACCGGGATATCTGATTTCGTTCACAAAATTATGGTACCGTGCCACTTTATCTCAACTGGTCGATAACGCCGTAATGTAAAAGACTAAATAATAAAAAAAAATTTACTACGTGAACTAACTTAAATTGTTACTAACTCGGCTAAGCACGATTATCTAACCTTAACTCAGCGCTGTTAAGTAAACTATCCTAACTCATATGCTTCAATTTATTGTCTCTTAACTTAATAGCTTCACATACGACAAAATAAGTGCGAAGCTGAAATAGTCTATGTCTTGGATAAAACTCCATTAAACCTGAAACTAACTGCTAAATATTGAATTGCAGCCGAGTACACCAGCTATATTCACGGTTGATATAAACGTAGAAAAGTTAGTTATTTTATGTGTTCATAACCGCAACACACACGAACAGCTCAATGGATTTGGCGAATTTTTTTTCCAAATATGCATGCAAATTTAATTTTTTGAAGATATTTCGTGCGTGGTTTCGTAGAAATGCCCATTTAACTCATGTTTACGCAGGTGTGCATTCACGCATTACGTAGCGCATTGCTAATATTTTATTTGGGTATTTGCTTACACTCATATACAAATTTTAATAAAAAAGAACTTAACTTATAATTGCAGCGCATCCCATAAATTCAATAGCTTGTGGCTAGTTACTTACATTGTTTATTAATTCAATTAAATCCGCATTAAAATGCCTGCAATTTTTAACTCTGGTTTGTAGGTGTGCGCGCAGCAGAAAAAAAATTATCAATTGAATAAAATAACCAACTTCTAGTTAGATTTTTTGCGGAATTTCGATAAATAACTAACTTTTAATTAGCTGTGACAAAACTAACTTTAAGTTAGTTGTAAAGTCATGCAGGAGTCATGCAGACGTTATCGGGAGTTTGTTTTCTTTACAAGTTTCTATTTAAATATGTTCATACAAAAATTA